ACACTGAGAGATTTACTGATTCACGTTAGTCTCTAATTGCCAGCAATCCTTAAAACAACAACGAAGTACTATTGCACACACCTATTAGAATGGCCAAAATCTGAGACAGTGACACCACCAATTGCTGCAGAGGATGTGGAATCACAGGAACTCTCATACATTGTTGGTGGAAATGCAAACTAGTGTAGTCACTTTGGGACACAGTTTGGCAGTCTTTTATAAAACTAAATACTCTTAACAATCATATGATCCAGCAATCTCATTCCTTGCTATTTATACCCAAAAGAGCTGAAAACTGAAGTCCACACAAATACCTGAACACAGATGTTCAGAGCAGTTTTGTTCATAATTGCCAAAAATTGGAAGCAACCAAGGGGTCCTTCAGTAGGCAAGTAGATAAACTGTAGTACATCCAGACAGTGGAATATTATTTGGCACTAAAAAGAAATGAGCTATCAAGCCATGAAAAGTTGTGGAGGAGTTTCAAATGCATATTACTAAGTGAAAGAAGCATATCTGAAAAGGCTACATACCATATGAGTCAACTATATGAGATCTGGAAAAGGCAAAGCTTTGGAGAAAGTTAAAAAATCAGAGGTTTCTAGGGGTTGGGAGGGAAAGAGAGATAATATACAGGCAGGGCACAGAGGATTTTTAGGGCAGTGAAACAATTCTGTATGATACTATAATGATGGACACATGTCAGATATGTGCCAAAACCTTTGGAATATATATCAAGAGGGAATCCTCATATAAACTATGGACCTTGAAGGATAATGCTTTAATGTAGACTTCAGTTGTAACAAATGTATCATTCTAATTTAGGATGTTGATTGGCGTGGGCCATGCTGCTCATGCTGTTTGACAAGGTCCACGCATGAGGAGGAATCCTGAAAAAGCCAGGAAACCTCGTAGCTGGCCCCTGCTAGTTCCTGTACTTATTTTTGCAGTTATGATATTGGTAATTGGGCTCATATATGGGAAATCATATGTATCTAAAACTGATTCATCTCTATTAATCAACATAACATGAACCTTTGATCATAATTGGAATCAAAACAGTAGTTCCGTGAATAAAAGTAGCGTTCCGGGACCAACCGTCCCCGGCATGCTGCCACAAGCAGTTAAGTCAGAACAAACCAAGCTGTTCCAAGAATTAGATCCAGCCTGTCCCCCATTCTGCAACAACACATATATGACGAACGAGGAATTTCTTACAGAATTGGCTAAGAAGGAGTTATGGGAGCCAGGCCCGTGGAAAAGCCCAGGAGTTCCTGTGAAGCAGCAAAGTGAAACTAAAAAACACCTAATAATCCCTACTGCCCAGGGGCCTCCCCATGTTGCTTAGAACATAAGGGGATGCCTCTGGTATCCCCCTAAAGGAAAAATTTCTATGGGAAAGATAGGGAAATGGACTTTCACAAATATCCCATACACAGGGATTTATGATGAATACAAGATAAAATACTATTATATTAATGGCAAAGTAGTATGCACAGACTCTGTGTCACTGTGTGAAAGGATAAAGATAAGTAATAAACCATACTGCTTACGAACTAGAGAAGAAAGATACAAAGATCTAAAAATGTGGAATGATTATTATAATAGAATAAAATGTTCATATTGTATACAAAAATCAGATCCAGATCGTGAGGACATAGACCTTAAACTAGGATGGGGATGGATAACGTTTGGATGTAAACAGAAACCTCAGAGCATGTGAATAGAAGCTTAATAGTTTTAACCATACAGCTTAAACTTTATATATGCATTAAATTCTGTATAACCTCACATGCTTAAAAGCATAATCATAGCCCACAGACTGCCACACGCCATTTTCCTGTCTAGCACCTAGCACGTAGTCTACATCTTTGGGCAAAAAGATTAGGGGAAAGTTAAACATTAAATGTTACAAGGAAGCTGTTCAAGGAAATTATAACATCTGTAATGAGACGGAATTATGCAAAAACTAAAGGGAAAAAACATTGTCAAAGGTTTAATATTATGTAAAGACCTAAAAGATATAAAAATAAAGACCCTGTCACTTGATGTCAGGAGATTCTTCAACCTGATCTTGAGTCTCATCTCCTCATTCGTCGACGCTGTCCTTTCCTTCGTGACCCACCCCTCGGGTGGAGCTGGACTCTGGCAGTTGATGATAGGAAAGGATGTGTGTGTACTGGGGGAGGGAATATAAGAATTTTTCACTCAATTTTGCTGTTAAGCTAAAGCTGCTTTAAAAAAAAGACCATTTTAAAAAAACAAACTAAAACTAAAACCACAACTTTCAAAAAGCAAGCAGAAAGAGCAAAGGGCATATTCAGAAATCTTCTTTGTCAAGTCTGTTAATATTCCACTGGCCAAAGTAAACTGCAGTGCTCAGCCAAGGAACTGGGAAGGCACTATAAGGTCACATAGAAAAAAGCATGGATAAGATGATGGGAGAAGAATTGGGTTATCCTTACAGTAAACCCACCACAAGGAATTAATTATTTAGGTTGATTTGAGGCAAAACTCAGAATTAAAATCATCTTTTTTACTACCAGTTATGTGTTCCATATATTCCAGTTTCTTATCCCAATTTCCCCATCACCCCAGCCATGATCATGATCCATCCCAGCTACAATATCTCTAAGCCTTACCCATCCTTCATCCTTTCTTAACTCCATCTCTGCTATTCATCCCATCACCAAACTGAAAGTTAAAGGTGTCTAAGGTAGACTGAGGGTTCAGAGATAAAATTGTTTTAATTACACATTACTTGGATACTAAATCAAATGAATAAAATAATATTTTATTTTTAGGTCAAGGTAAAGTGTTGAGGGCATAAACTAATTACAAACTTAGGGAAAGACTTACTGATTGTTCTGTTGCCATGATAACAAGTAGCAACCAGAACCAATTCTAAACCAATTCAATCTGTCAATGATAATCGTTTTGTGAACATACTTTTTGTGGGACAACTAATCACTGTCAGCCCTGCTTTCTGAAAGTGAGCCAGTCACAGATGGACTCACTTCAATAAACAGGCCTATGAGTGCCAACCAAATGAAAACAGTTTCTCTCAAATAACTAGGCTTCCATAAATTATGTCAACCCACTTAGTATCTGACAGTCCTCACTTCCCTAAGCCTTCTCCCCACAAAAAAGCCAGCCATTGGCTCTCTCCAAAGGACTGTACCTTACCAACATAATTCTCTCCTTAAATGAAATTTGGCCTTGTATTTCAAGTATTGAGCTGTTGTTTCATCATCTCTTGAAAAATGTCTCTTTATCAAATCTGAATTTCATTTCTATTGGGATTATATTTATCATTAATTTTTCATTTCTGAAATTCTTACATATTCTACAAAATAATGTGGCCTTTACAACCACATTATTTTGTCATAAATGGTGACTTTGGTAAGCGTTGGTTCCTTTATATAGGTGAAATGATGAGATTCAGCAAACAAAATCACAATGTTTGAAAAGATACTTTGATGGCAAGACTTCATATATTCACTGTCCACAAATATTTCTGAATGTTTACTTTGTGTTCAGAATTGTTCGTGGTTCTGGAGATCCAGAAGGAGAAAAAAAATATCTGTCCTCATGGACAGAAATCCTGGTGGAAGCTTACTGCTTAAAAGAAAAAGAAAAGGAAAGGAAATATGCAATTTGTCCGATTGTGGTTATTTTTAACAACAAGAAATATCAATGCTTACAATGTTGAAAGTCAGTGCAAAGAATGAGCAGTTACATGAAACACATAATGGCCACAAGGAGACCTGGTGGACTGGACTCTGGGAAAGAGATGAGGAATCCATGGCACTCAGATGGACAGGGGCCATCAGACACACACCTTACCTTCTATACCACCTCTACTCTGGTACCCTCATTTTCTTTACTAAAATTTCGATCTGAAATCTTTTGCCACTTTTCCCACAAGCTTATTCTTTTTCTTTCTCTCCCCCTTTGGAGAGGGAACCAAGAAAGTAGGTTTCACTGCTGAGGATTAAGAAATGATGTCAACATTTAACTCCAGTTTTACCCCCGGAGAGTTTATTTCCAATGCGTAGGGTGATTGCAGTAAAAGGAATTTTTGTTATAGTTAGAAAAAAAAAAACCTCTCACGTCCCGTAGGGGAAACTGAACCGAACCATCAGTCTTGGCGTCATTATCACCACGCTCTAATCAACTGAGCTAACTGCTTGTGGCACTATTCTTTTTTTTCTTGAAAAATTAAAAAGTTTCTTAACATTTTTGTGTTTAAAGGAAAGCTTTCTTCCTTTTTTCCAAAAGAGACTATCGTTTCGCTGATTTTAACCACGATCAAGCTTGTTTCTCCAAGCTTCTCTTCTTGTTTTCCATTCCTCCTTTCTGCACTCCTGCAAGCAGACAAGGCGAAAATTGCTTCGGAAAGAAATGAACTTTCGCCTCTTCTGTGGAAAACAAGACTTTCTGAAACTTGTCAGTTCCTCCTTGAGAAAACACCAAGAAGCGTTCACAGGACGAGCTTCCTTCTTCTGACCCAGGGATAGGTCTGCAAGGAGAAGCTGGTCATTCCGAGCTTTACTTCCGAATGGGCAGATTATGAAACTGACCCTCCAGTTTGTGGAGTGGGTTTGGTCCCGGCTGGGTGCAGCTGGATTGGCTTCCATACGGCGGGTAATGAAGTCTTTGGCATGTCTGCCGTGTGGTGCCCAAGAACTGAGAAGATGTCCCTTCTCTGCTCCCTGGAAAACTCCCAGCTGTGTGAGTGCCTTCTGCTTCACTTTGAGGTTTTATTATAACTAACTACTTATGTTTATCTTCCTTCTCTATGAAGGCGAGGACTGTGGTGTCTTCATTCCTCTGGTACCCCTGGTGCCCCCACAGCGTGGTAGGTTCTCAGTATTTTAATTTGACAGATGGGGAAAAGATGTACAGATCATTTCTGCTAATGGTTAAGTGTAGCACGAAAACCCTCTGGTGTCATTCGGATGTCATCAGGAGTTTCAATTTTTTTCCGTTCTTTCCAGAAAGTTATTTTCAACTCTATTCATCTCCTTACTGGTGGAGCGCGTGGTTGGGGCAGGAGAATGGTGGAGAAAGATGGGCTCCGGTAACAGCTCAAAGATCTCCATCATCCAAAAAGGACTTTCTCGCCCAGTTCCCGCCGCTGGAGCTCCAGGAAGAATTCCAAGGACTTCCTTAGCCAGCTTCTACAGTAATCTTCCTCTCACCGCGTGCTTCATTCTCTAGGGGCTCACACGCTGCGCCTCCCGTAGCCCAATCATTCTCAAGTTCAACAAGCTTGGCGCACACTTCTTTTTAGACGCGGAACAAGGACAGCGTGCAAACAGGGTTTAGTAGGTACAGGTGTGGTGTGTGTGTGTGTGTGTGTGTGTGGAGCAGCCAAGTAAATCCTGGCCCTCGCAAAGATCCTGGATGGGTGGCTCTTCCTCCTGGAAAATTTCCCAGCCAACTCAGCGTCCCGCCTACCTCCAGTTGGGAGGCCACGCAGGCCAAGACCATTTCAAATGGAAAGAGGGATCTTCACCATTTTTGGAATAACAGTGGCACCCTCGAGTGTTCTAGATTTTCTGGCCACTTACAAGTTCTTCCAATTTCTATCCTGAGGGTAAGAAGGATGTGTCACTCAGCTGGTCACCAGACCCTTGCTTTGAGTTGCCCAGGCAGCTATGCAGACCTCCAAACGTTCCAGGCAAGGACGCATTGAAATATTTGGTCTGAGTGGAGCCTCTTAACATTGGGCATGGAGACTGTTTCCAATATGAATAAGAATCAAACAAATGCTGAAAAAAGAACAGAGCTTAGTTATTCTATACTTGGCCAAGTTTGAGCCTTTAGGCTTAAAAATTTTGTTAGCTTCCCTAAGTTTTAAAACTATGCACCCCTGGTACATTTTTTGATAATTAATTAATTTTTATCAAGAGTTTAAATAGTTGTTTTTCTTTGTATTGTAATTATTGACCATATAAAAATGAAACTGTTGCATCATTCTTGATATATCAAAGGTAAATTCTAAGTAAGTTGATATAATCATTATTCATGAAAAAAAATAATTGCATGAACAAGTACTTTTTTACAGCCCTTAATCTTATGTCATTGTTTCCTCCTCAAACTTCACTTTCCCCCCAGATATAATTTTTATGCTTAAAATTACTTTAAGCTTCCTATACCCTACTTTCTTGCAACAAAAATACATGTGCACATTACAATTAATTTGGGAGAGGGCACAAGGCTCTGGGAGTAAACCAAGGTTATATGGAAATAGTACCCTTAATTTGTGGGTGGATTTTGTGAATAGTTTATAACCCCTTTTGCAGTTCACCAATGGTGCTGTACAGAGCACTGAGAGTTTAAAAGAATGAACCACTACCTGTCCTGCTCTAAGATGGATGGGTCATTTGGATTGTGAATGGGTTAAAAAGGGGGGGAAAATCTAGGGGACTGATTTAAGGCTTCCTAGAGCATGGTTAACTTATCCCCTGCTTTTACAGCTAAGACTGAGAGAGAACTTCTGATAAGAACAGTTCAGAGGAAACAAAACCAGAGAGAAGAGGCTGGTACTTGAAACAAACCTGCAACCTGTGGTTATGACCATGCTCTAGCCCAGCTGAACTACCCAGCCATTCTACAGGCTTGTATTTTCTTTGAAAATATTAACTCCATTAGCATCTTTCCTGTGGATGGTATTGAAGGCCAAAATTCTTTCCTGCCTCCCATTACTGTCTTAATAAAATGATCAAGCTTCATTCAAACAAACAAACCTTTGGTTCTGAGCCATACTAATGAACTTGATAAAGGAACCATAGGTTTTTACAAACCTGTGGGTTCTAACCGGGGAATCCATGGAAATTTCTGCTTCTCCTAAAGGGCACATGGTGAGTATGACCATTGAAACAAGAGTCACAGGCAATACCCACAATGGGAAGATCCAGTTTTGTGCCTGAAGAACGAGCCCACCACAGGACCCTTTTTTCAATGATTTTTCATGACAGTTTCAGTTCTCTTATCTGGGCCTGCGCATGGCCAGGCTTGCAGTTGGAGCCTTCCTATGGGTTTGCATTAGGTTTCCAGAGAGAACTCAAATTGTATTTGTGTGAATCGTTGTCACCTGAGAAACCTCAGTACTGCTTGGTGACCATTTCAAAGGAGGTGGATTCCTGTGAGCCCAGCATTTCTTTCTTAGCTCCTCCTTTACTGTACTTTTATAGTATATTCTTAAATTCTGTATTTTTTAATAGGAAATGAAGTCACAATATATTTTTTAAAAGCATGCAGTGAGCATCCCTTGTCACTGAATTCCGCTATGCCCAGTCTCCTACCCTCCCAGTAGATTTCATTGTTTTTAGTTTCTTGTGCATACATGAATTGATGGCTTTGACAGATGTTACCCAAGTGCCCACAATTGAGGCTGCACCTAGTTGCTGGAGTCCAGCTCCAGCGGGTGGGTGTGAAGCCCAAAAGGATGAGACGGAGTCGGTGCGTGGAGAGACAGGACACGGAGTCAGATGGAGGTGGTCTCTCGACAAAGTGTCGATGACAGCTTTATTTATACCATTTTGCACAAGGATATGATCATTTTTTATTGTTCTGATGATTCATTAGTATAGGCAGTTGGTTAATAAGTATAGGCAAGCTTTTTTCTTTCTTTTCCTTTCTAATCTATTCGTGGTTGGTCAAGTGTTAGACAGGTGATTGTTTTTCTGTTGTCTGACTGAAACTTTTCTTATTAATATGTACTCTATTGTGTTTTACGTTTCTATGCAATGCAGTTTCTAAGTAGTGCATGTGACCGTAGGAGCGTGCAGTATGTAGCAGCGACTATGGAGTCTATCAGCTCAGGGTGAAATACAGGTCACCTAGTGCCACAGTTAGCTAGGATTCTTTCCCACAAAAATATTCTTAGAGGCTTTAATAAATTTATAATCAATTTAAAATCATAAACTCATA